TCTAACAGCATGCTCCACCACGTATGAAGTCTTGGTTTGGAAGACCTTTATTAGGCCCGAAGAACCGGCAGCCGACAGCTGAGATGAACGAACCAAGATGATGATGCTACGTGACAACGGTGAGAATGCATGAGCAACACATGATGATGCTGATAATGTACAGATGAAGAGGATTGGTATACTAAATGCCCACAATATAGATAGATAGATAGATAGATAGATAGATAGATAGATAGATAGATAGATAGATAGATAGATAGATAGATAGATAGATAGATAGATAGATAGATAGATAGATAGATAGATAGATAGATAGATAGATAGATAGATAGATAGATAGATAGATAGATAGATAGATAGATAGATAGATAGATAGATAGATAGATAGATAGATAGACAGACAGACAGACAGACAGACAGACAGACAGACAGACAGACAGACAGACAGACAGACAGACAGACAGACAGACAGACAGACAGACAGACAGACAGACAGACAGACAGACAGACAGATAGATAGATAGATAGATAGATAGATAGATAGATAGATAGATAGATAGATAGATAGATAGATAGATAGATAGATAGATAGATAGATAGATAGATAGATAGATAGATAGATAGATAGATAGATAGATAGATAGATAGATAGATAGATAGATAGATAGATAGATAGATAGATAGATAGATAGATAGATAGATAGATAGATAGATAGATAGATAGATAGATAGATAGATAGATAGATAGATAGATAGATGCATGCTAACTACGCACGTACGAACCGAGTATGAGGAACGGGGGGAACACAAAGTTTGCGCGTTCCTTGTAGGATTCACGTGACGCTCGGTTGAACTTCGGAGGCGGAGGCGGAAGCGCCACTGTGCCGCAGATGTACAGCAGGGGCCACCGCTGACTGGTCCTGTTGTTCCGGCATGCCTCCCTTAACGAGCGAGGAACCGGCTTCGCATCGTTGGTGCACACACGTACACGCTCACTTCCAGGCGTGCATCAGCGTTGCCCGAACGAAAGGATTGCGAGAAGCGAAGGAGACCACTCCAATTAGACTCCCATCGCTCTACGAGTATGGCGTTCCCGTATAATTCTCTGGATTCGCCGCGATAGGACACGAACGTGCTGGTCAGCAGTTTGTTCTGTTCCAATCGAAATGAAGGAAAGGCATTCCAGTTGATTTTCCAGCTGTCTTCGCGTTTCGGTTGATGGGTGCATAGAGGATAAAGCGAAAGAAAAAGAACAGTTGGGTCAACCCGTAACGTGTTTTGGGTTTACTTTTGGCAATGGCTCGGATGTTGAGAAATGAGCTGACTGAATCGGGATATTCTGCATTTGATGACAGGGCCAGTCGACTCCAAGCTTCTGGAAAGTAGTCTGATTTTGTTGATAGTGGGTGTTCGTAAAGAGAGGTGCCAAACAAATGAAGTTTCACTCGAGGAAACCACGATGCTGATAAGAGACAGCATATTACATGCATAGAAACGTATAGGACGCAAGGGGACGTTATTGTACTCTACATACTGATAACGGCGATAGTGGCTTCGAACCGATGGTGGGGCCCTGGAAAGTACCTAGATCAAATCATGTAGCTTAGATGTTCGATTATGTATTCCTTCTCAATAGAAGTTTATATAAAAACATACACTATGTCCCGCTATATCGAACCATATGTAGAGGCGAAGCAGTGGGCGCTAAAGGCGCTTTACACTATAGAGCCACACCACACCGATTTTGGTCTTTGGGAGTGCCTTTTGTCTTGTCGTCGTCCAATTTACACGGCAATGACGCAAACAGTCCGCCGATTGTCTCTGGAAGAATCCGTCCGCGCCTTGTCGTGCTCACAGCCTTTTGTAGGCCAATTCTCTAGTCACACTGGAGGCACAAAGGGAGACACCGATTAAACTTGCACACCTGCAGCTCATTTTCAGCCATGTTCCCTGCTCTGCCATTGTCCTTTACCGGCTACGCGGCGCAGCCCCCGCCATAATCCACGGCCTCGTTTGATGGAATGGGGACACAGAAAAGAGAAGCAAAGAAAGGACTTTCGTGGGGTGCGCAAGATGCATATTCAGCCGTGGAAGCATCGGAGATCTCCCCCAAGATTACCCACTTCGTTTTCGTTTGAAGCAAAGACATGGGCAAACTTTTGCTCAACCGCAGATCTCCCGACTACACGCTGACGACAGGTCTGCCGATGCGTTTTGCTGGAGTTTCGGTCTCTCGATATATTACACTACGACGATGTGCTGTCTTTTGAGGCGTCGTCGTTGGCGGTGGCCTAGTGTGCAGGTGGTCTGGCGACTTCGTCGGCGGGCGACTTGTAGGCGACCGTTTGCGTTTGACTCGTGCATTTGTCGGGGTAGTGTCAGTGTCTTGACGGTCTAGTGTAAACGTGTCTTAACGCTTACGCTGTGGTGGCGCTGACGCTCGCACTCATCGCGCCGTTGCGCAGGAGAAAAAACTGGGAAGGCGCAAACCACGAAGTGATGGGCTGATGTTTCCTACTAGAATATGCCAATCGCTGCTGATGGACAATGAGAGACAGAAGACTGATTGTACACAGAGACCCGCAGTCCGCTTTTGGTTTCACGCTGCGAATTTTAATTTTTCAACATTACTCAGGAGAAATCTCCTACCGACACTATTTTGGAGGCCATTATCCAGAGCCTCTATATACGGGTTGGCCAGTAAAAGCTGTGCCGCGAGAGCAGTCGGTTTTTCAATCAAGAAACTCGCCAGCAGAAGCTGCCTGCGTCGGTGTTGCGAAGGCAGAAAGAGGGGGCATAGGAGAGGAGAGATATATCGGGTGGGACGTGCATGCGCAATGGGAAAGGGGGCGGTGTAAACGCCGCGGGGAGGGATGCCAAGAGGAGAGAGGGGGAGCATAGACAACGCCTTGTCGATGTTGCAAAGTGAGAGGGAGTGGACACGCATGCGCAGTGGAGAGTGGACGCCACCGGATGAAGTAAGCTCATAACATGCTTCGCATCTAAAAGAGCGGCGAGCTTCACTTCGCACACTGCTGAAAGAACGAAGCCGATGTCGCCCTTCGTCAGGCTCGCACTCACCCATATTTGAGCGTCTCGCATTGGTTTGCTCTTTCCACTGACCTTCGCTCTCGCGCATCTTAGCGTGGCGCAGCCCGTCTTCCTCGCCTACTGAGCCCCATTCGCCTCGGCGCATGACCACGTGACCAGCGCCACACCAACGAATGGAGAAGCGTCAAGTACGACCAGCTTCGTTCTTAAAGATAATATTTTTCACTCGTTGCTACTCACACACCTCTAATGCAGTGTCGAACTTGAAGCAGCCCGAAAAAAATTAGGACAAGAAAAGAAACGAGAGCAAGGTGATCAGCCCCGAATGAACCGAATCGGCAAGACCAGCAAGTCGTTGCTAGCAGGGCCATAGGATGTATTCACGTGACGTCATCCGCAGTGGGTGCTAGTGCGGCATTCGCCAGATTCGTGGTTTCGCGCGCTGACGTCATCGTTGGACTACGACCGAAGTTCTCTGCAGGATGTGTTGTTTTGATATATATTCAAGAACATGTCCTAGCGAGATGCAGCGCCGCCAAACATCGGCATATCGTATGCCGGATTGCTGAATGACCGCATCTATAGAAGCGTGTGGCGGTGCACTCGCTTGCGCCACCTAGCGGCAGGAGCTCTGTAAATAGTTCCTATACTGCCAAAACGTCGTCAGGCAAAAAGCTTTTGCCGGCGTCTATATCGCAGCGCTTTCGTATGTCTATGGTATTTTTGAAAGAGTAAAAGTCTTCTAAATTTCGGTGCGCACAGAAATGCGCAATAAAAACAATATAAAGGGTGTTGTTTTCTCTATTTTGTAACGGTATTCATTGTCGCACCTTTCAGCACTGATTTAGCTAGAGCTCGTTTGTTTTCTCTTTTTGCTTTTTTCTTTAGCACGAATCCATACCTTCTTGAAATGTGATTTAGCAGTGTGCAACGTTGGGCGATTTGGTGCACCGCTTAACCAAAGGCTTTTGACGCCGCAAGTCTTTCTTAAGGTAAAGTGCCAGGACGCGAGGGGCCCATGGATTAAAGAACAACATGCAAACTAGCACGTGGCATTTTAGTACTGGCGACGCCTTCCTGTTTGATCACTTCACATTTTGAGCTCAAGAATAAGCTCGCTGTCTTTATGAGCACACGCTACCATTGACGCTGCTTTTGCGAGTCATTTAACAACCAGTTCATGAAGTAGGAAGGAAAGTAGGAGAAAAAAAACGGCAGGGAGGTACATCAGCCTATAGGCAGCCGGTTTGCTACCCTGCGCATGGGAGGGGGAATGGGGGAGATGAAGAATAGAGGATGCGTAGTTTCTTAAAGGGGCCGCGACACGGTCACCCACCAAATTGCAGTTTTCAGTGAAAAATAGAAGTAGATCGTTTATTGTGATCATACATGTGTGAAAGATGGACCTTGAAAAAAAAATATTACATTGCAAAGTTATCCCTAGATGTCACCGAATGTAAATTCTGCCCATGCATGTGTCAGTCTCGTCTTGTGCTTCACTGAGCAGAACCGTCGTCTTCGACCTGCGCTTCCGTCGCTGCAAATTGTTCGATTTTCAATGCCAAACTTAAGCAATCTGTAACAGATTGATTGTACGCGTAGTTACCTCCAAACAAAATCGTTGACCGGAATCAGCCGTTGACGCTCGTAAAGCAAGCGGCTTGTTACGTCACAGCTCGCGAGTGTGCCAATGTTGTGAGACTCATGGGCCGCGATCGCGTTTATAGAAATGCTCGGTATCAATAAAGCGCTCAACTAAACGCGCGGGAATTTCGTCAGATTGTTTGCGAACACCGAATTAACCCGCGTAACAGAAACTATAGGAGCGAAAATGGGATGTCGTGGCCCCATTGGCTCTGACGCTGTTCTCGTGAATCTTGATGCCCTTCTGACGTATGTGTTTCCTTTTTGTACTTTGTAATCTTTATTCTTTTCTTTTCTCTTGACAGCCGCACCGGATCAGCGTGAGGTCAGTCCTGACCTCTGGCCAGCATTCCAGGGATGCCGCATGCACCATTGTCATTGGGAAAAGTGAGTGCTCCTCTGAACCACATGTCTCCAGCTCATCTGCTAGTGGGTTGTAGTCCCAACATTAGGCTGTCACAAGGACAGGGACTGTGAAGAGAGAGATGGAGAACGAAATGTTTTAATGTAGAGCTGGAGGTGTTTGTGTAGATTGTCGCCTGACATGCTAATCAGGTGCTAGGCGATGATTATGATATATTCACCGATAAACGCATCACACACACACACAGCCACACACGAGTAGACTACACTATTTACGAAGTTTCATTAGGGCTCTTTGCTCGCAAGCAAGTCAGTAGTGCTTTTGTGCCGCGAAACGCTCTGGGTATTCTTTGGCATGGGCCGAGAATGCGTCACGGCTCCAAGTTCGAAACCCGTGGGAGACATAATGCCGGCTTCAGAGATTGTCTCTGTGGTGCGTTTAGAAGAATTTTAGGAGAGGGGGGGGGAGGCAAGCTTGAACAATGTGTCACTGAATGTCCCCATATAAAAAAACACTTTTCCCATATTATCTCATATATGGGTCATTTCTGGAGAACATATAAGCTTAAGATTCGAGAACCGTATCGATACAAACCTACAGAATGAGTAAAATCTGGACGCCGATTCATAAACTTAAAGACCTTGTTCCACGTTTATGTTTCAACACTGGGTGACCACATGAAGTGCCTTACGAAAAAAAAAAATCCATGCATCTCTATTAAGCGACTGATGAAGAGTGGGCGAAGCTCTGGGTGGCATATGGGTGACCGTTCGTAACCCGTGCACTGCCCCATATAATGTAACTTGAGTGACATAAAATGAGCTAATGTGATAGTGTGATAGTTACATATAGAGTCGACGACAAAGCTGGTTAAAGTTCAGAACGTCTACGTTGAAGTCGCCGACTAGTATGTGGGCGAAGCTCTGGGTGGCGTATGGGTGACCGTTCGTAACCCGTGCACTGCCCCATATAATGTAACTTGAGTGACGTAAAATGAGCTAATGTGATAGTGTGATAGATACATAAAGAGTCGACGACAAAGCTGGTTAAAGTTCAGAACGTCTACGTTGAAGTCGCCGACTAGTATAAAGTGTTTGCGCCTGTAGTGATTTTATATTGATCTGTCAAAATTATTATTATTTGTATTTTTGGAAGCATAACGTGCACAAGGTTTTGCCCGTGGGGTAAGGCAAAGGGCGAAATTGTACTTCGCCCCTAAAAACCAACTGCTTGACACCAGTATAGTCTTCGTAGATAAAAACAAACCGCTATTAATCGCAATAGCCTCGAATATAATTGGAGTATTGTTCAGAAAAGTCACAAGCCATGCAGAAAAGTTACCTGGCGAATGTGCGGGCCGCGTACGGCACGTAGGCTGCGTGTGTAAGCATCCTGCTCTATAAACATTTTCATATGCGCCGCTGATGCTCATGAATTGTAATTTAAACTTGCTCTCGGCACCTATCGTTGCGCTACTATATCGCCCCAAACACAGTTTCAGACGTAAAGGAAAGTATATTAACCAACACACGCAGGCGCTACGAGCGCTTAGAAAGTGAATGTAAAAAATGGCAGATCCCGCGTACCGTGGGAATCGATGATATGCGAAGCACAAATGAGTAATGTTGATATGTCACTTTAAAACCAGCATAAAGTTATGAGGTGGAGGTAAATGATGCCGTACATGACTTTCATGTCATGATTATCGTGTTTGGATGTGTCGTTTACCTTCGTGATCTATTCACGTCACGTGAAACCAAATTAAGTATATGTGGAGCCATAGCAAAAAAGCCGCGAGCACGCTATGACCTTGGTATGTTGGCGTGTTCTTACATGACACGCGTGCCAGGATTATCATGTTTGCACCAGTCATATATTTCGTCATCTATTGACGTCACGTACCACGAAATTTGGTATATGTGGTGCTAGCGAAACAGCAACCAGCGCATCATGAAGGGCCCAATATACTCCAATGTAGCTCTGACGTGCGCGCACACTGGGCACAGTGACGCTACGTTAGCAAAACGCGAGCACTCTATAGTCGAACGCCAGGCACGACCAGCGTCCGTCGGCGCGGGCCGACGGCAACCGACGCGAATCGCGACATGCTGCGTTTCGCGTCAATGCGTTACCCAGACAACACTGCGTGTTCCTCTTTTCGTGACGGAGGGACGCTGGACGCGCTGAAACGCGCATGCGTCAAAGCAACGCAGCGTGGCGCGTGCCTGCGAGTATATGGCAGGACCGGCACCTGACGTTGCAGCGTAGGCGTGACGCGACGAAATGAACGCAGGCGAGCACGCGCACCACTTCACGTCGAAATGTACTGGTGCCTTGACCGTGGCACGTAGTCATGTTCTCACATGACACGCATCTCATTATTATCATGTTTGCACCAGCCACGTACCTTCGTCATCTATTGCCGTCACGTAATATCAAGTTTGGAATATGTGAAGCTAGCGAAGCGGCCGTGAGCGCATCATGAGCGTAGCATGTAGTCATGTTGTTACATGAGACTTATCTCATGTTTATCATGTGCACCAGTATCTACCTTCGTCATCCATTCACGACCCGGGTGGGTGGGTGGGTGGATACGCTCAAGGTTGCTGAAGCTCGCTAAGAAATGATTTTAAAATATTCCGGTGTTGCCGCCGCATGTATAAAATGTGGAGGTGGCCTTCTCAGCTACTTTCCAACTGATTTGGCTTCACTTGTATTGTTATATCAGACGCAGGGATGCATCCAGTGTCACTAGTTGCTCATGTGGCTTCGCCATCACGCGTGCATTGGTGAACACCTGCGCTGCAAGATCCACGCGCTGTTTGAAACTGTCTTGCCACCCCACCTGAACTGAGCAAGGACGAGCTTAGAGTTCGAGAATGACAACACCTCTGTTTCAAGTTTTTATGGCGAAGATTTTGCGTCATCCTGAGACATCCGCAGCCGTTCATGGGTTTGTTCCGTTTGCCGCCTCATGTTGTCTCCTCCGCCGAGACTGCTTAGCGGCTGACCTTTGGGCACATTCCTATAGCTAGTCTGATTATGGGTGAGTTCCACGCGTTGATGGGGCGTGGAGTGGTGGCGGCGGCTACAGAGCTTCTCTTTGCGACACAAGCCACCGGAGAACATCGTGGCCCTGACTTCAGAACAACGCAAAACGCTTTAGAACTGCGCGCGACATTTTTCTCTTTTCTTTGATACGATGTACAATGTGTAAAAATGCAAAAAAAAATGCTATGATTAATACAATGGAATGTCGTCCTCTTCTGACTCAGGTGACTCACGGAAAGAGGAAACGTTAGACGAGATAGCGAAGTTCAGTATAAATCTGATTTATATATAGGGATTATTCACATCTCGTGTATCCATCTATGGTTAAACACCTGCAGGTTATCATCGCAGATAAAACTGAACATTTACCAAGTTTACGAGTTCACTTGTGTCTCACAAGAAGAAAAAAAAACAAAAACAAGTAACGCATCACCACATGATTCGAACAATGAAGGCGCACCTCTATTCCGATTTTCTTTCGCTATAGAAACATTTTTTTATATTTTTATTGGGACCATTACCCGCAGCGTCCAAGGCATTATTGCGGGGGGCACAGTGCCTTATATAATGAATCCGCAGCCTTGCGGCCAACTAAATAACCTGGTAACATATTCCATTTAACAATGGCTTGCGGGAAGAAAAATGCTTAGACAGATCTATTCTGGCCTTGCATGGCCGTAATTTAACTTTGTGGTCATGACGAGAGGATTGATAATGCGCTGGTTCTAAATATTCTGAAGTAATAACGCATGTTTTCTTGTTAGAGATTGAATAAAATAGTTTTAATTTTAGATTACGTCTTCGATCTTGTAAATATTGCCAATCAAGCTCTCTTTTCATACATTGGGAGCTTTCAGTTCGGTCATATTTTCCCAGAACAAATCTAGCTGCTGTCTACTGAATGCGCTCTTGTGCATGAGTGTGTACTTTGTGAAACGGATCCTACACAGGACAGGCGTATTCCAGTATTGGTCTGACATAAGCGTAATATGCGGCCTGTTTAACCTCTTTGGTTACATGTTTAAGATTTCTTTGTAGAAAGCCTAGGGCTTTTCCAGCACTTCTGAGAATACTGGCAATGTGTTCAGACCATCCGCCATCCTCAGAAAACGTGGCACCCAAGTACTTGTATTTGTGTTCTTTCCTAATAACTTCAGTGTTTATTATGTAATGATTAGTAAACCTATTGACCCTTTTAGTGAAACTGACGCGAATGCATTTATTAGTATTTAGTACCATCTCAATATTTTTGCACCATTCCTTCACTTGATAGATAGATAAATAGATAGATAGATAGATAGATAGATAGATAGATAGATAGATAGATAGACAGATAGATAGATAGATAGATAGATAGATAGATAGATAGATAGATAGATAGATAGATAGATAGATAGAATAGATAGATAGATAGATAGATAGATAGATAGATAGATAGATAGATAGATAGATAGATAGATAGATAGATAGATAGATAGATAGATAGATAGATAGATAGATAGATAGATAGATAGATAGATAGATAGATAGATAGATAGATAGATAGATAGATAGATAGATAGATAGATAGTTCAGTTCAGTTCAGTTCAGTTCAGTCCAGTCCAGTCCAGTCCAGTCCAGTCCAGTCCAGTCCAGTCCAGTCCAGTCCAGTCCAGTCCAGTCCAGTCCAGTCCAGTCCTGTTCAGTTCAGTTCAGTTCAGTTCAGTTCAGTTCAGTTCAGTTCAGTTCAGTTTACTTTAGTTTAGTTTAGTTTAGTTTAGTTTAGTTTAGTTTAGTTTAGTTTAGTTTAGTTTAGTTTAGTTTAGTTTAGTTCAGTTCAGTTCAGTTCTTGAACCCTGTTCTGACGCAGAAACGTATGCATCGAAGATAAAAAATTTTCTAACAAAAGAAACTCGCCCAGTACCCATTCCATATGGGTATTCGGGTGTTGACGCTGAATATGAGAGGCTTCGGGCAATACGACGCCGATCTG